ATCGTTATTCTTAACAAGTAGTTTTGTTGGGTGGTTAATAGGTCACATCTTTTTAATGAAATGTATTGGATTGGTATTAGTCTGGTTACAGCACAAAAAGTCGATCAAATATAAGATAACTATGAGATTTGATAAATACATTCTCCTACAATTGTGAAATTATGTGGGGCAAATATTTGTTGTTTTTTCATTTGTTAGCTTTGCACACTATTTAGGCAGAACACCGCTCCCATATTATTATATTGAGGAAATGATGCGATACGATGACAGGGACCTGGAGGAAGTCAAAGCTGCAATAGATTGGGAAAAGGAAGAAACTAACGAAGAAGAAGAAGATATTACTGTTTATCTTTCTGATAAAAAAGAGAATACTTTCAACAAAAAACTCGCCCCGTTGGAAAAATCTCTTGTAACTACTCTTTTCGATTATCGAAAATGGAATAGGCCTTTGCGATATATAAAAAATGATCACTTTGAAAGGGTTGTAAGAGATGAAAATTCACAATTTTTTTTTCAGGTATGTCAAAGTGATGGAAAAAAACGAATATCTTTCACGTATCCACCTCATTTATCTACTTTTCTAAAAATCATGGAAAAAAAATGGATCTCTTCAGAAGAGATAAAACCTCCTATAATGATAATGAATTGTCTAATTATTGGAGCTCTGTTAATAAAGAAAAAGGAAATAAACTAATCAATGAATTTTTTCAAAGGGCAAAAATGATAGATAATAAATCTATTAAATTTAGTCCTGTGGATGTATTTGAAAATCGAATTAGATTGTCTGATGATAATAGGAAAACAAAATACTTAACTAAAATATATGATCCTTTCTTGAATGGACGCGTTCGTGGAGAAATCCAAAAAGGCTTTTCACCCTTCATTCCAAATGAAACTGACACAACAAACTACATTTTGATAAATAAGATTCAGGGTCTCCTTCTTTCTATTAATAGTAATGATCCAGAATTTGAACAGAAAATAGATCAATTTGATAGAAAATTATTATTAAATGAAATTGGTTTTTTTTTTTAACTTAATCAGTAAATTTTCGGAAAAATCAGTATCAAGTTTGAATTTTGACGGACTTTATTTATTTCCAGAACATGAACAAGTAAAAATATATTCCGAAGAAAAAAAAACAAAAAGAAAATTATTATTGGACGCAATTCGAACTGATCCTACTAATAATACAATTTTTAATAGAAAACTATGTAGTGAAATAAACGAAATAAGTAAAGAAGTTCCTCGATGGTCATACGACTTAGTCGACGAATTGGCGGTATTGATGGACGCGAGTCCAAAGGAGTCTCAGATTCGTTCCCCAAAAGCTGACCGTATAGTTCTTTTTAATAGTAAAACAGATTCTAATGACAATCAGAATAGTGCTGAACCGGACAGAAATACTGAATTTGCTGTAGTTCATTATTCACGCGAACCAGATTATTGCCGAGACCTAATCAGAGGATCTATGCGCCCTCAAAGGCGTAAAACAGTAACTTATAAACTCTTTCAAGGAACTGCACACTCCCCTCTTTTTTTGGAGATAATGGGCGACTACGCGTTCTTGTTTGGTGATCTTGTCTATGATATCTCCCAATATTTGAAAGAATATTTCAGGAAACCGGGTACTGATAATTCGGAATTTTTGGCGTTTGAGAAAACGATAGAACAGAAAGAGATAGAGGAAAACAAAGACGAGTCTGAAATAAGACTTAGACAAATCGAAGAAGCCTGGGAGAGCATTCTCTATGGTCTAATAATCAGAAGTTTTGTATTACTATTCCAATCAATATTTAGAAAATATATTCTATTACCTTCATTGATAATCACAAAAAATATCATTCGTATACTATTATTTCAAAATCCTGAATGGTCAGAAGATTTGAGGGATTGGAGAAAAGAAGTCCATATTTACTGCACCTATCAGGGCGTTCCAGTATCTCACACCGCGTTGCCAACAAACTGGTTCTGGGAGGGTATTCAGATAAGGATCTTATTCCCTTTTGTTCTGAAACCGTGGCACAATAAGGTACGATCTACTGGAAAAAAAAAATCTACTGAAAAAAAAAAGATCCACTGAAAGAAAAAAACTTATGGTTTTTAACAGGTTATGGAACACAAGTCGAATCGTACCTTGATGATCATGTCCCGAACCCTTTTTTATTTTTGGGTCCCATTTTTAAAAAAATAAAAAAACAATTGAAAAAAGATTTGAAAAATCGTTTTTTTCTAGTTCTAAAAGTTTTTAATGAAAGAAAAAAGGGGTTTCGAATCGTGTTAGAAGAAATCGAAAATAGGTTCAAAAAAAGAGATGAATTGAGTGAAAGCAAAAAAAATTCAACAATCAGTAAGAGTAATCCAATGATTGAGGAATCGCCCGTTCTAATTCAATCTATGAATTGGACAAATTTCACAGAAAAAAGGATAAAAGATCTTAATGTTAAAACAAAGACAATCTTAAAACAACTAGAAAAAATGACAGAAGAAAAAAAAGAGGGGGTTATAACTTTAGAGATTAATTTGAATTCTACCAAAACTACTTATGATGCTAAAAGATTAGAATTACTAAAAAATAGTTTGAAAATATTAAAAAGAAGAACCGTTCGATTAATCCGTAAATCCTATTTTTTTTTCAAATTTTAATGGGAAGGATATACATAGAGATCGTTTTCTCTATCACTCGTATTATTATGATGTCTGGACAACGTTTTCTTAATATTATTGAATTAACAGACAAAATTGTAAATGTATTTATTTCCATTTACACTAAAAAAAAAAAATGAACAAAGAGTTCATAAAACAAATGAAAGTATAATTCCATTTATGTCAATTATAGACAAATCTTGGAATATTACAGATATGAATTCACAGAATTCTTGTGATGTATCTTCTTTGTCACAAGCCTATGTATTTTTTAAATTATCACAAGTTAGTAATGGATATAAATATAAGTTAAGATCTATTTTTGAATCTCATGGAAGATCTTTGTTTCTTAAGAATGAAATAAAAGATTATTTTTTTAGAATACAAGGAGGAAGATTAAATTCCAAATTAAGACATAAGAACCGTCCCGATTCTATAATGAATCAATGGATAAATTGGTTAAAGGTTCATTATCAATATGCTTTACCTCAGAGCGGATGGTCAAAATTAGTACCACAAAAGTGGAGGAAGAGAATCCATGAACATCGCGTGGCTCAAAAGAAAAATTTAGTTGAATATGATTCATCTGAAAAAAACCAATTCATTTTTTACAAAAAACAAAAAAAACAACAAGTAGATTTATTAGAAAAAAAAAAAGAAAAAAAAAACAATATGGATATGATCTTTTCTCCTATCAATATATAAATTATGCAGATAACAAAAAATCCTATATTTATGGATATAAATCACCATTGCAAGCAAACAAAAACCAAACGATTAATTACAACATACCTAAAAATAAAAAATAATTATTTGATATAATGGGCGATAGCTTTATCCAAAATTATATAGCAGAAGATGGTATTATAGATATGGATATGGAAACAATGGAAAAAAATCTGAATAGAAAGTATCTAAATTGGATGGGAAAAAGAAAAAAGAATTCCAAAACGAATCAGAAATTATTGACTCCGAGATTTGGGTTCTTTTCAAAATTAAGTGCATATAAGAAGAATCCTTGGATCTTACCAATGAATTTCTTTTTTGTGCAGTTTTATGGAAACAAAAACATTACTGATGTAGCCCAGTTAAAGTTAGAAAAGAAAGAATACGGGAAGCAAGCAGATCTCAAATCATATCTCTCAAACTATTATAGGGACACTCGGTATAGTATAACTAGATACAGGAAGGATCTAAATGGCGAACAAAATTTCTTACTAGATAAATATTTTGGTTTTTATTTGCACTGTAAGACTCCCGTCCAAGAAACACTAATGGATAATATCAACTTATATTGTCTCCTGGTTAGATTGAAAAATCTAAAACAATTTTTCATAATGTCTATAAAAAAGGCAGACCTCGATTTTGAAATTATGGCGCGTCTGCAGATGAAGGACACTTGTTATACAGAATGTAGGGACACAGAGGAATTGAGGGACAACCTAATGTTTTTTATTGAACCTATTCGTATTTCTAGAAAAAACTATGAACAATTTTTTATATATCAAACCATAAGCATATCATTGAGGCACAAACGTAAAATTTTGAAAAGAAACTATGATTTACTTGTTCCTGAAAATCTTTTGTCCACTAGACGCCGTAGAGAATTGAGAATTCTAATTTGTTTGAACCCACAGAATAGAAATACTGTGCATAGAAACACAATAAATGACACTGAGAAAAAACGAAATAATTCTTCTGAAGTTTTGACTCAAAATGAAGATATTGATAGCGATACAAAAAAACTAATGACTTTAAAATTCTTTCTTTGGCCAAATTATCGATTCGAAGATTTAGCTTGTATGAACCGCTATTGGTTTGATACACATAATGGAAGCCGTTTCAGTATATTAAGAATACATATGTATCCTCGATTGAAAATCTAGATTTTTGTTCTATTTATCATTATCATAATATTTCAGATATCTATCTGATATCTGATATGTGAACATATATATATATATATAAATAAATATTTATTTATATATATATATATATATATATATATATATATATATATATATATATATATATATATATATATATATATATATATATATATATATATATATATATATATATATATATATATTTATATATAATTGATAATTGCAATAAATAAAATAAACGCGCACACGCATTGTGGGATTGATACGACTTCAATGATGTCTCCATTAGATAGAAATAAATCAATAGAAAAATGAATAAATCAAAATTGTCTTTTTATTTTTTAAATACAAGACAATAGAATTTTTTATTTTTTGAATACATAAATATAGTATTTATTCTCTATTTGAATTACATTCCTTAATAAGGAATTTGAAAAAAAAAAATTCAGAATTGTGAAAATTGTTAAATAAATTAAGGTAAAATTTGATATAAAAAATTCAAAATGAGTGTCATTACTATTACTGATCAATAAAAATATCTACCAAAAAGGAGGGGGAAAGAAAAGCTTTCATTTTATGATAAAAAATTCATTTATACCTGTTATTTCACAAAAAAAAAAAGAAGAAGAAAACCCGGGATCGGTTGAATTTCAAGTATTCAACTTCACTAATAAAATACAAAGATTTACTTCACATTTTAAATTACACCCAAAAGACGATTTATCTCAAGGAGGTTTACGTATAATTCTGGGAAAACGGAAACGACTATTGTCGTATTTGTCAAAGAAAAACAAAATACGTTATCAAAATTTAATAAATCGGTTGGGTATTCGGGATTCACAAATTAGGTAATTTAAAGAATCATTTTCAATTATTCGATTTATTAGATACTGAATTTTGATGAACTTTTTTTTTTGAACGATTCATGGAAGAATGAATCGAGGAAAAACCTATGAATATCCCAGCTACAAGAAAAGACCTCATGATAGTAAATATGGGGCCTCAACACCCATCGATGCATGGTGTTCTTCGACTTATTGTTACTCTGGATGGTGAAGATGTTATTGATTGTGAACCAATATTGGGTTATTTACACAGAGGTATGGAAAAAATAGCGGAAAACCGAACAATTATACAATATCTGCCTTATGTAACACGTTGGGATTATTTAGCGACTATGTTCACAGAAGCAATAACTGTAAACGGGCCGGAACAATTGGGAAATATTCAAGTACCTAAAAGAGCCAGCTATATACGAGTAATTATGTTGGAGTTAAGTCGTATAGCTTCTCATCTACTATGGTTGGGACCTTTTATGGCAGATATTGGTGCACAAACCCCTTTTTTCTATATTTTTAGAGAAAGAGAATTAATATATGATCTATTCGAAGCTGCGACAGGTATGAGAATGATGCATAATTTTTTTCGTATTGGGGGGGTAGCCGCTGATCTACCTTATGGTTGGATAGATAAATGTTTTGATTTCTGCAATTATTTTTTAACAAGGGTTATTGAATATCAAAAACTTATTACGCGGAATCCAATTTTTTTAGAACGGGTTGAAGGAGTAGGTTTTGTTGGTAGAGAGGAAGTTATAAATTGGGGGTTATCAGGACCGATGCTTCGGGCTTCCGGAATACAATGGGATCTACGTGAAGTTGATAATTATGAGTGTTACGAGGAATTGGATTGGGAAGTTCAATGACAAAAAGAAGGAGATTCATTAGCTCGTTATTTAGTTCGAATTGGTGAAATGGTGGAATCCATAAAAATAATTCAACAGGCTTTGGAAGGAATTCCAGGGGAGCCTTATGAAAATTTTGAAATCCGCTGCTTTGATAGAGAAAAGGAGCCAGAATGGAATGATTTTGAATATCGATTCATTGGTAAAAAATCGTCTCCTACTTTTGAATTGCCGAAACAAGAACTTTATGTGAGAGTTGAGGCCCCCAAGGGAGAATTAGGAATTTTTCTAATAGGAGATCAGAATGGTTTTCCTTGGAGATGGAAAATTCGTCCACCTGGTTTTATCAATTTGCAAATTCTTCCTCAATTAGTTAAAAGAATGAAATTGGCTGATATTATGACAATACTAGGTAGCATAGATATCATTATGGGAGAAGTTGATCGTTGAAATGAGAATTGATACAACGGAAGTCCAAGATATAAACTCCTTTTCCGGATTGGAATCTTTCAAAGAGGTCTATGGAATTCTATGGATACTTGTACCAATTTTGATTCTTATCTTGGGAATCACAATAAGTGTACTAGCAATTGTATGGTTAGAAAGAGAAATATCAGCAGGGGTACAACAGCGTATTGGACCTGAATACGCTGGTCCTTTTGGAATTCTTCAAGCTCTAGCAGACGGAACAAAACTACTATTCAAAGAGAATCTTATTCCATCTAGGGGAGATATTCGTTTATTCAGTATTGGACCATCCATATCAATAATATCAATTCTAATAAGTTATTCAGTAATTCCCTTTGGCTATAACTTTGTTTTATCTGATTTCAAGATAGGTGTTTTTTTATGGATTGCTATTTCGAGTATTGCTCCCATTGGACTTCTTATGTCAGGATATGGCTCAAATAATAAATATTCCTTTTTGGGTGGTCTACGAGCTGCTGCTCAATCGATTAGTTATGAAATACCATTAACTCTATGTGTCTTATCAATATCTCTACGTGCGATTCGTTGAAACCAAAAAAGTTATTCGATGCTATTGCTATGCTCCTCTCTTTATAGTACTATATAGGAAAGGAGGCGAATCAATTGAATAGAAACCTTCATTATCTTTATTTTTCTCCGATTGAAGAACTAAATTAGATAGTTATATGAGTGAAATAAAACAGCTTATATTGAATAGAATTTCAGAATACTTTCTTACTTCTAGTTAATAGATAGTATGATGATTTTTAATGGCAGTAAAAATATTGAGTCTCATTTTCTATGTATAAGAATGAAATAAAATTATAAACAGAAGAGGCCATTTAACCCAAGATTGGATAATTTGTCATCCTGTTTTGAAGCGGGCTCTAAAGACCAACCTTATTGAGTTTTAGTTACCATTTTTATGAATTCTCATAGATATATTAAAATAAATAAGGGGGATTAATAAAAAAGAGTGGATGGTTAGAAACACCAAGATACACAAAGGATTAGTAACACAGATTTTGTAAATTATCCAAAAGACAATTTACGCAGAATATAAAAAGAATACTAATTGGGGCTTTAAGTTGGTAGAAAAAATAAAGCAGTACTCCCCACAACTCCGATCCAGAGTATGCTTCCATCCACTCATTAAATAAATTACTATCAGGAACGAAAAAATCCTTTTAAATTTTTTAAGTCCCTTTTTCATAGCACAAAAAAGAAGAATAGGAACGAAAAAAAAAAACATAAGAAATCAAAAACGAAAGAGAAATCTATTTTTCGTTTTTGATTTCTTATATCCATATCCATATTCATGGAGATCAAATCATAATTAAGAAACGAATGTTTAATTCTTTTTCGTAATTCAAAATCATGAGGGCTATTGAGAATTATAAAAGAGTATTTTATTGAAGAATTCAGTTATTACTCAACAAATTTTTATTTTTGAGGGATGAGATCAATTCAGAAGTGCCTTACATTGGATCTTTTATTAAACTATATTTCTCTTTCTTATTTCGTTATTTCTAGAACAGACAGAATTGAATTGGTCTAATTCAGAACCGTTCGATCTATTTTCATCTTCTATATCTTAGGGATATAGCAAGAGAGAAATAATTGACCCGGTCCTTAGATTTACTTAAGGCTTTCCAGGAGCCGTATGAGGTGAAAATTTCATGTACGGTTCTGTAATAGAGATGGGAACAGTAATGTTATCACCGACTAGGATTATCTAACAGTTTAAGTACAGTTGATATAGTTGATGCGCAAGCAAAATATGGTTTTTGGGGTTGGAATTTGTGGCGTCAACCTATGGGTTTCATCGTTTTTCTAATTTCTTCGCTAGCAGAATGTGAAAGATTACCTTTTGATTTACCAGAAGCAGAAGAAGAATTAGTAGCTGGTTATCAAACAGAATACTCAGGTATTAGATTTGGTTTATTTTACGTTGCTTCCTATTTAAACCTTTTAATTTCTTCATTATTTGTAACAGTTCTTTACTTGGGCGGTTCAAATATCTCTATTCCGTACATATTTGTTTCTGAATTTTTTGAAATAAATAAAACATACGGAGTTTTTGGAACTACAATTGATCTCTTTATTACATTAGCTAAAAGCTATTTTTTCTTATTTGTTTCTATCATAACAAGATGGTCTTTGCCTAGGCTAAGAATGGATCAATTATTAAATCTTGGATGGAAATTTCTTTTACCTATTTCTCTCGGTAATCTATTATTAACAACTTCGTCTCAATTGTTTTCGCTGTAAAAGATGGATCTTCTATATTCATTACTTGTCTCAAATAAGAGAAAGAAATAAAACAAAACTATTCATAGATATTTACGATATGTTCCTTATGGTAACTGGGTTCATGAATTATGGTCAACAAACAGTCCGAGCTGCAAGGTACATTGGTCAAAGTTTCATGATTATCTTATCTCACGCAAATCGTTTACCTGTAACTATTCAATATCCTTATGAAAAATTAATCACATCAGAACGTTTCCGCGGTCAAATCCATTTTGAATTTGATAAATGCATTGCTTGTGAAGTATGTGTTCGTGTATGTCCTATAGATTTACCCGTTGTTGATTGGAAAATGGAAACGGATATTAGAAAGAAACGATTGCTAAATTACAGTATTGATTTCGGAATCTGTATTTTTTGTGGTAACTGTATTGAGTATTGTCCAACAAATTGTTTATCAATGACTGAAGAATATGAACTTTCAACTTATGATCGTCATGAATTGAATTATAATCAAATTGCTTTGGGCCGTTTACCAATGTCAATAATTGATGATTATACAATTCGAACAATTCAAATCAAATAAAAAAAGACAATTTTTTATAATTTAATAAAATACAATTCTAAAAAAAAAAGAATATTCTATATATATATATATATATATATAGATTTCTATATATATATAGAATATATATAGAATATATAGAATAATCGAAATAAAATATTTTCAAAAATTGTATAAAAAATGAATCATATAATCGATATTGGATTAGAAATATTCTCTAATTATTAGAGAAATATATTCTTAAATAGAATAGAGAAATATATTATCGAAATTTGAAATATTCTTTAATTTAAAGACTAGTTCAAATGGTTATATATGTTCTATCTACCTTTATACTTTAGTTTTAATATCGTTTCAAACTACTCTTTCGTATAAAGAGTAGTTTAAGTGGAGTGACATTGATTATATAACCGTAACTATATCAATTTAAACTACTTAGGTTTTTTCAATGCAAAGAAAAATTTAAGTATATAACAATTTTTTCCTGGTCATATCAATAAGGTCATGAAATTTCGATTTCTTTGTCTTTTTTTTTTTTTACATATAATGGATTTGCCTGAAACGCTGCACGATTTTCTTTTAGTCTTTCTGGGATCGGGTCTTATATTAGGAAGTTTAGGAGTAGTATTACTTACCAACCCCATTTTTTCTGCTTTTTCGTTGGGACTGGTTCTTGTTTGTATCTCTTTCTTATATATTTTAGCAAACTCGCATTTTGTAGCTGCATCACAGCTACTTATTTACGTGGGAGCTATTAACATTTTAATCATATTTGCTGTGATGTTCATGAATAGTTCCGAATATTACCAAGATTTTCATCTTTGGACCATAGGGGATGGAATTACTTTGATAGTTTGTACAAGTATTTTTGTTTCACTAATAACTATTATTTCAGATACATCATGGTACGGAATTATTTGGACTACAAGACCAAATCAGATTATTGAACAAGATTTGATAAGTACTAGTCAACAAATTGGAATTCATTTATCAACAGATTTTTTTCTTCCATTTGAACTAATTTCAATAATTCTTTTAGTTTCTTTGATAGGTGCAATTGTCGTAGCTCGCCAGTAAGAAATCTTTAGAGAACTACTAATATAAATCAAGACTATATATATATATATATGTATTTTTTTTTTCAATGTGAAGTGAAAGAGTTTTTAGGTAGAAATTCTTTTTTTTTATTGCCAATATATTCTTTTGTTGCAGACTTGTTATATTCTTTAGTCAATTGAATCTGTTGAATTGTTGTTCATATTGAAATGAATCAAAATTGATAAGGAGTTGGTCAATGATGCTCGAACATGTACTTGTTTTGAGTGCCTATTTATTTTCTATTGGTATCTATGGATTGATCACGAGCCGAAATATGGTTAGAGCCCTTATGTGTCTTGAACTTATATTGAATGCAGTGAATATAAATCTAGTCACTTTTTCTGATTTTTTTGATAATCGCCAATTAAAAGGAAATATTTTTTCAATTTTTGTTATAGCTATTGCAGCCGCTGAAGCGGCTATCGGACTGGCTATTGTTTCCTCAATTGCTCGTAACAGAAAATCAACCCGTATCAATCAATCGAATTTGTTGAATAAATAGCATGAATCATGTCATAATTAATAAAAAAGAAACAAAGTCGAATTTCAAATAGTGTAATATTAATCAATTCATTTTAGTATTTATTCGACACAACTTATGATCATATCATGTTTGCATTCCCTAAATCATAAGAAATCAAAGTATCCTGGTCCTCTTCTATTTCCTCTTCTAAATTTATCTAGACGCCTTTTTTATTAACAGTTAACAATATTATCACAAATCATTGATTCATCTGGTATATAAATATACGATTCATTTACGAGTTTACTAGATCGATAATTTTCATTTTTGAACATCAAAAATTACTATAGATATAATGTCACATTCAGTAAAGATTTATGATACATGTATAGGATGTACTCAATGTGTCCGAGCCTGTCCCACAGATGTATTAGAAATGATACCTTGGGATGGATGTAAAGCTAAGCAAATAGCTTCTGCCCCAAGAACAGAGGACTGTGTTGGTTGTAAGAGGTGTGAGTCCGCTTGTCCGACAGATTTCTTAAGTATTCGAGTTTATTTATGGCATGAAACAACTCGAAGTATGGGTCTAGCTTATTGATACGTTTCAAAAAACACCACACGAATACGTTTTTTACTGGCAAAAACTCGTGCTCAAAATAAAATAGAAAATTTTTTTCTATTTTATTTTGAGCACGGGCTTTTCTGGCCCAAGTGTATCTTATTTTTATCACGAATGATTTTCCTTGGTTAACAATAGTTGTTGTTTTCCCAATAGCCGCAGGTTCCTTCATTTTCTTATTTCCTCATAGGGGAAATAAGGTAATTAGGTGGTATAGCATTTGTATATGCTTAATCGATCTCCTTCTAACAACCTATGCATTTTGTTATCATTTCCAATTGGATGATCCACTAATTCAACTGACGGAGAATTCTAAATGGATCAATTTTTTTGATTTTTACTGGAGATTAGGAATAGATGGACTCTCTATAGGACCTATTTTACTGACGGGATTTATAACTACTTTAGCCACTTTAGCGGCTCAGCCGGTTACTCGAGAATACCAATTATTCTATTTCCTGATGTTAGCAATGTATAGCGGTCAAATCGGACCATTTTCTTCTTGAGACATTTTACTTTTTTTCATCATGTGGGAATTGGAATTAATTCCCGTTTATCTACTTTTATCCATGTGGGGGGGAAAGAAACGTTTGTATTCAGCTACAAAGTTTATTTTGTACACTGGAGGAGCTTCTATTTTTTTATTAATGGGAATTCTGGGTATCGGTTTATATGGCTCTAATGAACCAACATTAAATTTTGAAACATTAATTAATCAATCGTATCCCGTGGCACTAGAAATAATATTATATACGGCATTTCTTATTGCTTTTGCTGTCAAATCGCCGATTATACCCTTACATACATGGTTACCAGATACCCACGGAGAGGCACATTACAGCACTTGTATGCTTTTAGCCGGAATCTTATTAAAAATGGGAGCGTATGGGTTGGTTCGAATTAATATGGAATTTTTTTCCCACGCTCATTCCATATTTTGCCCCTGGTTAATGATATTAGGTTCTATTCAAATAATCTATGCCGCTTCAACATCTTTTGGTCAACGTAATTTAAAAAAAAGAATAGCTTATTCTTCGGTATCTCATATGGGTTTTATAATTATAGGAATAAATTCTATAAGTGATACTGGTCTCAACGGGGCCATTTTACAAATAATATCTCATGGATTTATTGGCGCTGCCCTTTTTTTCTTGGCAGGAACTAGTTATGATAGACTGTGTCTTCTTTATCTTGACGAAATGGGCGGAATGGCTATCCCAATGCCAAAAATATTCACTATTTTCACTATCTTATCAATGGCTTCTCTTGCATTGCCTGGCATGAGCGGTTTTGTTGCAGAATTGATAGTTTTTTTTGGAATAATTACTAGTCAAAAATATCTTTTCATGATGAAAATACTAATTACTTTTGTAACAGCAATTGGAATTATATTAACTCCTATTTATTTATTATCTATCTTACGGCAGATGTTCTATGGATACAAATTTTTTAATACACCAAACTCTTCTTTTTTTGATTCAGGGCCCAGAGAATTATTTATTTCGATTTCAATTCTTATACCCATAATAGGTATTGGTATTTATCCAGATTTCATTTTCTCATTTTCGGTTGACAAGGTTGAAGCTATTCTATCTAATTTTTGATGGATGATTTTTGTGAATAAATGAATCAAAAAGATAAAAAAAAGATTTTTCCGTTAGATTCACTTCAAAATTTGAAATGATAATCGAATATGTTTGTTGTTTGTGAGAACCCCTTGAATCATTACATTACTTGATTGAAAGGGTTCTCAACGATTTATGGAACGTATATATTTATATGCTTTCCATATTTTTCTTTCTCAGGTTCTTTACTCATTTTTAGTCAATTAGATGTAAATGAACCATAACTATGTAGTCCTATTCCTAATAGATTGATCCCCAAATAACATATCCAAATTATAAGAAATCCTATAGAGGCCACTATTGAAGAATTTACACCTTCTAATTTTTTATTTTTTCTAGTATGTAAATAAATCGCGAATATGGTCCAAGTAATAAAGGCCCAAGTTTCCTTTGGATCCCAATTCCAATAGGAACCCCATGCCTCGTTAGCCCATACTGCTCCTGAAAGAATACCTATCGTTAAAAAGAGAAAACCCAGACTAATAATACGATAACCCCAACGATCCAATTGTTGAATAAATTGAGACCTGTAATAATTTATAGAAGAAGAAAAAGAAGTTTTTCGTAAAACATTGTTTCTTTCATTCCTATTCATGTATTTGATTTCAACAAAATCAACTGATTTTTTTAAAGAATCCAAATTCTTGGTAAAAGCAAGAATTTGGATGACTTCTTGAAACGTAATGACTAAAATAGCCACTGATAATAATGATCCACATAAAAGAGCTGCATAGCCCAGTATCATCATACTTACGTGCATCATTAGCCAATGGGATTGTAGAGCGGGTACTAATATTACAGATTGATGCATTTTGGTTAAAAGACCCGAAGTCGCAAAGCCTTGGGTAAAAATAACACTTGGTGCAATTATTGTACTTAAAAGGTTTTTCTCCTTTTTAAAAAAAGGAACCATATGAAAAATTGAAAAACCCCATGAAAGAAAGATTAGGGATTCATATAAATCACTAAATGGTAAATGTCCCGAAAAAAACCAACGAGTAATTAACAATCCCGTTACACAGAAAAAACTTATTATCATGGCTTTTTTGGACAAATCATATAATCCTACGATTTCATTGCCTAATAAGGTTATCAAATGAATTGAAATAACAATTGATATCACGGAAAACGATATATGAGTTAATATATGCTCTAAAGTTGTAAATATCATATATATAATGAAAATAAAAATATTTATAATGAAAATAAAAAA